CCCTTAGTCTAGGGAAGGGACCAGGTGCAGAGATACCATTCTAAGGGCAAACATTGGTGAGGGGGATCTGGGGAGTTGCAGGGGGCTGTGGGGAGGAAGAGAAGAGGTGACCCTAGGGAAAAAGGGGTTCTCCACCCAGCACCTGGTCCTAGAGTTAACGACAGGAGGGTCCCAGCCCTACCTCCTGGAAGACATATATTTGCATAAGTCCCTCCCTCATCTGCATGGCATCCAGATAATTTGCATACAGATCCCAGGCAACTTGCATACCACTGGCAGCCCGGGCCCAACTCAGTATGACCCCCTCCTTTCAACTTGGCCAAGGGCCTGGGGGAAGGGGGTGGAGTAAACCACAGGATCTAGGGCTCCAGGAAGTAAAGGCAAGTTTGCAGTAAACTTCCCTTGCTCATCAGCCTTCTGTGGCTCTCTATTGTTCTCAGGAGCATGAGCCACACTTCACGGGCATTCAGGGCCTTCTGAGATATCGCCTCTCACAGACACCCACCGCTCCCTCTCTCACACCACATAGCACCCCCCCCCCATGTTTTGGTGACTATTTCTCCTTACCTGGAATGCCCTTCCTCATTTCCCCCGTTCTAACAAAGCATGCCTGAACATCTGGAAGGATTCTGAAAAGTTTTCATCTTCCCCCTACCCTTGGAACTTTACAGGAATCTGTGATTTTTCTAGACTTGTACAGAGTTTATTTATTTATTTATTTACTTATTTGGCAGCTGGCCAGTATGGGGTGGACTTGTATAGATATTAATAGTAAGGCTATGTTTGGTTACACATGACAAAATGTTTTAAAAAGTCAAAAACTGGTGAAGGTAAAAAGGGAAAATTATTCAGTTGCATAACTGGGAAATTAAAAGGCTGACTTCCTTCAGGCGTAATTGGGTCCACGGGCTCAGAAAGTCTCATTTGGAAAGCTGTCCTTTTCCATTCCTCAGCTCTGCTGTGCTCCACGCATGGGCAGGGTCTTTTGTCATGGGTGCCCACAGTGCCAGATTTCTCTACCTTACAAGTTCAGCAATTCCCTTCAAAAGAGGGTGTTCCTTTTCCATTAGTGCTGGCAGAAGTCTCAGGGCTAGTTGTCACTGGTCAGGAGGGGGTCCCACTCCCATCCCTGAACCCATCCCTGAGGCCAAGGAATTGAATGCTCTGATAGGCCAACCCGCGAGACTAAGGGGAGGGATTCCCCATAGGAAAACTGGGGGGCTGCTGCTGCTAGAGGAAGGGAGAGGAGTTTCTGGGCAGGTAAAATATGAGGGGTCTTCAAAAAGTTCGTGGAAAGATATGTATTATCTTTTAATTCTCTTTTTCCATGAACTTCTTTTCGTTTTGTTTTGTTTTTTGGCGGCTGACCAGTTCAGGGATTGAACCGTGCACCTTGCTGTTATCAGCACCATGCTCTAACCAACTGAACTAACCGGCCAGCCTTCAGGAATTTTTTCTTTCTTTCTTTCTTTTTTTTTTTTTTTTTTTTTTGGTGGCTGGCCAGTAGGGGAATCCATCTCCGTGAACTTTTTTTTTTTTTTTAAAAAATGACCGGTAAGGGGTTTTTAACCCTTGACTTGGTGTTGTCAGCACCACGCTCAGCCAGTGAGCGAACCGGCCATCCCTATATGGGATCCGAACCCGGGGCCTTGGTGTTATCAGCACCGCACTCTCCCGAGTGAGCCACGGGCCGGCCCAGTCCGTGAACTTTTTGAAGTACTTTTGTACTCACTCAGCTCCGCGGCGGCTCCATCAGAAGTCTTTAGTCCTGTGTCCCTACCTCCGGTGGTTATGGCTCTTAACTGAAGTACCACCTGCGGGACTCCTTGACTCTGGAAGTTGACTCCCCAGGCATGAGACCCACCCAGTCATTTGTCAACAATGCTCAGCCTTATGCATGTGACCCTGGGGCATGACATTCCAGTTTACACTCCCAGGACTTCCCTCCCCACAGAGACCAGCCAGGAGAGAGCAGAGCCACTCCTTGGCAGGCCAGGAGAAGAACAGGTGCTAGGGTACTAGGGGGCCTTCCTGGAAGAAGAATCCCTGGGGACCAGTTATTTTGCCTGGCAGCGGAGCCTAACTGGGGGGGTGGGAGGGGGCAGGATTTTGCAAAGCAAGTTAGTAGTAAGGCTGGCACTAAAACCCAGAGGTCCTGGCCCTCCTAGCCTGGCCCCAGACTAGGGAGAGAAGGTCAGGGAGATCTAGAGTGCATTTAGTATGCACCTATTTGTCCAGTGGGCCTCACACCAGGCTTGTGCCAAGCCTGAGATACATGTTATCTGGAGGTATGTAGCATAGAGGGTAAGAGCACAGACTGTCCAGGTTCAAATCCCAGCCTGCTACTCCCTGGCTTGGGGCAAATAACTACTTTGTGCCTCAGTTTACTTTTCAGTAAAATGGGGATAATGATTGTGTCCCCTTCATGGGAATTCTTGTGAGGAATTGACTAAGACAAAAAGATGCTTAGAACAGTGACAGATCTGGATCTACCATTTTGTAACTCCATGACTTTGGGCCGAGTCACTTCACTCTCTGTTATTCCTCAATTTCCGTACAGTACTGTATGAGTTATTTGAGATAATACTTGCAGCACACTTAGATCGGTGCCTGGCACATAGTAGGTGGTAACTACATTTATCAGTAATATCACTTCCGAGACTTGAACACGGGTCAGTAAGAGCCTCCATTACTTGAGACCTTGCCATTCTGGGGCGCAAAGCCCAGGTGTATGGTAGGTGGGAAGTGGGGTAGCCTAGCCTAGATGGTCCTTTGGCTAGGGCAAGGAGCCCCAAGCGCCTGCTCCCAGCTGACCAGCTCGCCGCCTCCTCGCCCTGCAGGAACTCAACTGAGCGACTTCGGGGACTCAGTGGCTGGCATTCCCTTCCTCAGCCTCCTGCTTCCCGCCCTCCCCCAGCCCTGCTGGGCGGCCTCACTAGCTCCCCTGGGCAGCCCAAGGAATGTGAAGAGGTAGATGGGGTGGGAGGAGTGGGAGCCGCTGGGGAAAGACAAGGGCTGAGGCAAAGCAAGAGACACAAAGACACGAGGAGACTGGGGAGATAGCGGAAGTAGGACAAGGACACCCGGATGGACCAGCAGGGTCCGGAGGCTGGATCCTAGTCCAGACCCACCCAGCCCTGCTGGGCCTGCAGAGCGCGGGGGCCGGTCTGTGCTGCCCCCTGGTGGGCAGTGGCGATAAAGAGGCTGAGCGGACCAAGTATGGGAGGAGAGCGCAGGAGATCGCAGGGAGGGAGGGAGAGTCACGGAGAATAGAGGCAGGGACAGAGAATCCGAGACACGCAGGGAAACAAACGACATTGACAGGGAGACACAGAGACACAAATAGAGACAGACACAGAGAGAGACAGAGAGATACCAAGATAGAGACGCAGAGGCAGAGAAAGACAGAGGCAAAGGGATAGAAAGAGTAACGGGGACCGAGTTACACAAAAACAGTGATAGACAAAGAGTAGAAACACACAGTGACACCGCGGCATGAGGACCAAAAGAACCAGAGACAGAGAAATGCAGGGACAGAGAGGGAGACCGAAAGGTAGCGAGAGAGACATAAAACAGAAACACTTCTAGAAGGGAACGATGCAGTGACCCCCAGAGTCCAGGGCAGCGATTGCAAAGAAAGTGCAGAACAGTAGCCGTGGGAGTCAGAATCGGCTAAGGAGTGTGTGACAACTGACCTATGAATGAACGGGAAAAGAAAGAAGAGGTGAGGGTACGCAGAGAAGTGCGCACAGACGAGAGACCGAAGCCGGGCCTGGGGCAAGAAGCAGCGAAGTCGCGCAGCGGGGACGGGGCGGGGCTCCGGCAGGGGGCGGGCCCATGTGAACCCACGTGCCTCGCGCAGGTTTGACGACAGGGCCAGGGCTGTGCTAAGGACAAGGAGGGCGGGATTAGAACGGCGGGCGAGGCTGAGGCCCGGCCGACTTCGCCCCTGGGAATAGCCAGGACAGACTGCCGGAGGCAGGGGGCGGGGCCGTCGTGGAGGGCGGGGCCTCGTGAGGGCGGAGTCGGGTGGAAGCTCGGAAGGGGGCGGCCAGGGGGCTGGGAGCGGAGCGCCGGAGCCGCGCGCCCCCCGAGGGGCGTGGTTGGAACACTAAGGGGCGGGACTTAGCGCCAGGCGGGGGGGAGATAGCACTCCGAGGGAGGGGCGATCATAGAATCCTGAGGAGGGACGGACGCAGAATCTGGGGAGCGGCGAGCATGGCATCCGGGGGAAGGAAGAGAGTAGAACCCGGGGGGCGGGGTCAGAACACCAGGAGGGGGCGTGGCTTGCCCAGGGTCAGCTCGGCGGGGGGGAAGGGGTGGATCCTGTGACGTCAGCGAGTCCGAACGGCCGGAGCTGAGCTACCGGCCGGGGGCGCCGATCCGGGGGAGCCGGGCGGGGAG